AAAAAAGAAGAATCTATACGTTTTTAGAATACGAACGAAATAAAAAAAATATCATTTTAGAGGACTAAAATGCTTCGTAAACAGGGCCGACCCTGGCGTAAGGCGGGGCAGGGCGACATATTTTTACCCCAGAACATAGTTTTTTTATCTGGACAGCTCGACAGGTTGACCCGGGACTTGGTTGACGCGGAGTCGGAACCGATCCGAGTGGACTATTTGGACCGGACAATAAAAGACCCGGTCAAACCCGGTCAACTCGACCTTGACCCGACCGGCCCGGTGCATTGACCCGGCCGGGTCAACCGGCCCATATATATTTTTTGATTATTTTTTATATTTTTTGTTTGTTTTTTTTTCAAAATAAAAATATGTATATATGTTAAAATGTTAAATATAGAAACAATTTTATTTTTACTTTTAATTTTTAGTCTAGATTATCTCTTTAATTAATTTTTTCAACCTATATAATGAGTGTATTAATATTCAATTTATATGTTTAGATAAATTATACACTACAAGAAATGTCAATTTTAACTAGACATTTACCTAGATCTTTGTAGGTAAAGTGCTTGCTGGTAAATTTTTGTCTAGCTATTTTATAGGTAAACGGATTTAGCTAGAAATTTTTGGATTTAGCTAAAAATTTTTGTCTAGTTAAAATTGACATTTCTTGTAGTGATATATTTAGTTATTACCAAATGCTATAATATTAATTAGAATAATGCTACTTGTACCCCTTGGTGTACCACTTGGTTTACATTCAAGGGTATTTGACTATTATCTTATCTACTCATTTTTATTTATTACAACAACAACAACAACATACCCAGTATATTCCCAACAAGTTGGGGTCTGGGGGGTCATTTGTACGCAGACCTTACCTTTGTAATTATACAAGGAGGTTGTTTCCGTAGCGACCCAAGGTGCATTGTGCCGTTTGATATTTTTTTTTTCTAGAAACTTCACTAATAGAAGAAGCACTAGAATTTAATTGAGTCATTTTGATCTAGACCATTATTAGCACTATGTCAGGAGAATTGTCAACAATGACTCTTCCAGCATCAATTGCAATGGACAAAACTCATTTTTATTTATTAAATAGCATAAAATAAAAATATTTTTTTTTTACAACTTGAATCATTTTTTGATGTATATAAATATTTTTAATGTGAAACTTATCCTTGTTAATTTCACCTGACCATCAAATGATAATTTTATTAATTTATTAAATTTAATGTTTCCATAGTGTTCTCAATAAAAGATATATTCTATGGAAATATATTTTTTAATGGTTAAATTGGCTACATTTTAGCAAATTTTATTAATACTGTAAATTATCCACTAAGTTAATATAATTAAAACTCAATTATTATGGTTATTTGTTACATATTTTATGTGCTTCTGATTGGTGAATATAATTAATAAAATTAATATCTACAACCATGAGATAATGATATAATTAATCAAAATATTTTTTATAATTATAGTGGACAAATTTTTTAATTGTGTCAAAAAAATTGCTACAAAAATAATATTACGATCTTATTGAAAATATATGCAATTAATTATTATTATATTTAAGTCAATTTATCACTAATGAATATTAGACGTTGAGTACTAAACAAGAAGTAATTAATGTTCACATATTAAATGTGCTAATAGATAAAAGGTTAATCTATACATATTGAAAAAGGAGGGTCAAAAATTAATTTGTGGAAAATTTTAAAAATTTGGTCAACAACACTATTGACTTCCCATTTCTGGAAACTAAATTAAAATTCCTTTCAACTACTTGCACGCGTTTGTTAGGGATTGGTAGATAATTTCGTTAGCAAATTAATCTCGCGTTTTATCTGTTTTTTTTT